TGGCTCATTTGCGGACATATGTTTATATAAACAAAAATGCTTGTTTTGATGTCCCTAACTGCCCCTTGAAGTTTGTCGGTATCTTTTTGGGACACCCTGTATATTAAAGAAAATCGAATTTCTCAATATTTTACTTCTAAGAACCACTCATAAAATTAGGTTCATTCTACTTTTCTCTCCGTGAACTTTTCAACCATTTTCGAGGCTTGTATGCGAAAATGGAGCAACTAAATCGGTAACTATCTGGGTACTGGGTACTTATTCTTGAAACAGGGGACCAGCGTTCACAGGAGATCGAGTGTTCCGTCTTTGTTACTTATATTACCATTTACATATCATTGAGAAAGACGAAACATTCTTTTTCTTGGGAACGTTGAACGTTGCTCCCCTGTTTCAAGAATAAGGACTGGTCCTTTATCTTGTGAAAATAAATCTGTTCGCTCAGAAATCACAAACCAGCATAAGCGGTTCTAGCCCATCTGTGCTGGGGGGGCTGAAGCCCTTGCTCCGAGGTCGCTCGCCGCAGGTGGTGGAGGTAAAAGGTAAAAGTTCCGAGCATAAATTATTCGTAGAAGTTGAATCCAGTAATACGCAAGAGAAAGTAGAGACCTTTTTCCCAGCGAGACTCAACAGTGATAGTCTCAAAGCAGTCGACGTATCGGTCTAAAAAATCGATGCAACTCCAGACCAGTAGTTAAAGAGCAAATCACAGAAGTCCGATATATTAATAAATCCGGAGTCAGGAAGAAACCGGAAAATGGCAAACACCAGGACGCTTCGTTAGAAGCCAAAAGTCCCGCAATCCCTAAGTTCATGGAAACACCGACTTTTAATCCAAGTTTAGATTCCCCAATTAATTTTCTGAGCAAATATGAAAGAGCAGCAGCCCTGAGTGGCTGGTCCGATTCCTACAAAATATCTGTTTTTGGATGTTTCTTAAAAGGCGCCGCAAGTATAAAAAAATAGCACATATAAATCAAGCCAGGCAAATCAAAACCGAACATGGGAAAATATAAAAACAGACTTCTCGAAGAAGTTTAGCGGAGAACAACCGACAAGAAAATTGAAGTTCAGGTTGAATACGAGAAGACAACAGGAAAACGAGGATATCAAGATCAAGCACTTCTATTTCGAATTATACGCCCAAGCCTATGAGATAGACCCTAAAATGCCCTTCGAGACTTTTAGGGACCATTTCGAGAATGGTCTCCACTCATCGTTCTACGAAACACTACCTCATGAGTTCAGGAACGATGGATCACGCCAAGTTGAGAACGTTGGTTCTGAAATTGAACGAGATAAAGGAACGACGCACCTTGATACAACAAATGACTGATCGAACCAGCCTTCTAACATTGGACGAGCGAAAGGGCGGTAATTCAAGCGATTTTAAAGGCACGGCTGGGCACACAAAAAACTCCGGAAGAAATTATGAACATAACGACAGAAATTCTAAAAGTTTTGAAGGAAGTTATGGATACAAATAAGAGTACGGACTGTAGAGGTGGGAAACTATAGAATGAAACTATCGATATATCGATAGTTCGTTGCGGAATTAAAAATATCGAACTATCGATAATTTTCCCTAGACTATCGAATACTATCGAATTTTGTATTATTAAATTGGTAACACTGGGCGAATTCTTTTATTCATCGATGGATCCATCTGTTGAAAGCATTATGAGACAGCCATTCCGATTTTCTATGAACTAGACAAAGATAGACAGGTCATTGATGGAGCCATCGGTGAATAAAAGAAAGCGCTTACTGATTAGAAGTGATGACAGGTGCACAGCGATGCTGAATTCTGACAGGAGTAACGGAATGAAAAACGGCCGACGTAGAGGGGCGCTTCCATTTCGCGCCATTTCGGAAAGGTTATTCTCGAAGGCTGGTAATATTTTGACTGTTAAAAGAACCAAACTTAAATCTAAAAATATAAATATGTAGTCTAATCAAAATAAATGGATGCTTTCTTACAGCGTTGTAGTTAAATAATTATTTTTTTCTCCAAACGTCAAAAAAACATCACTTTGTCAACACCTGTCAAGATGGTAGAAATTCAATTTCTATGTTGCTAGGCAAATCCAGGAGGTTAACACCTGTCGAGGTGGTAGAAATTTAATTTCTATGCTGCTTGGCAACCCCAGCGGCAGCAAAAGTACTTTTGGTGCCGCTGGAGCGGCAGTAAAAGTACTTTTAGTGCCGCTCGTACTTTTACTGCCGCTCAACCATCCAGTTACCCCCGAGCCTACCACATTCGTTTGGAGAAAAAATAGCGTGTTGCATACGGAGTAGAAGCACTTTTTTGTGCTTCAGCAGTATTGCAAGCCTCACCACGTTCGGCTCGCAAACCTCTACTGCTTCAGCACAAAAAAGTAAAGCTTCTACTCCTAATACAACAATATACTATTGTACAAATACTATTAGAATCTTCAATTTTCATTTCAGTTCTAGGTTATATTTTTAAACCGATAGTACTATCGATATATCGATAGTTAATCAACCACTACTATCAAACCATCGATAGTTTTTGAATTCGATATTTTCCCACCACTAACGGACTGAGAAGGCCCTACAATAGGAATAGGGGATACCACAAAGACAGATCAAACGATCGGGACCGATACCAAAGGAGCTACAACCCAAACTACCGCCAAAAGAATAGACAATTCCTAGAAACAAGAAACCACGACGGCAGACCAAGATGTCGAGATTGCGGTGAAAACGGACATTATAAATGTGACAAGACGTTCCAAAATTACGGCCAACAACGGAGAGTTTCTTTTTCCAGAGTTAATTTGCTGGCCCCAAACGACCAAGGGCGACTCCACTAGATAGTCTCAACGGAGTCGTCCTGCAAATAGGGGCTGCACATAAAATTTTAAAGATAAGGAGGCTGGTGAACAACCGGCCTAACGTAGAAATAGTCTTAAAGGGTGTACATAAAATTTTTAAAGATAATTCCCCAAGTCAAAAATTTAGTAACTCTGTTGGCAACACAAGCCTTTTCTACATAGGAAATTTGAAAGCTTGACAATTTTACATTGTATTGCCAACATAATGTCATTTTGACTTTTATCTTTAAAAAAAAAAACAGATTTTAGATACTGGATCAAGTCGATATACAGGGTGTCCCACGGTGGATGGCGTATTAGACGTTAATGGAGAACTAAAAAGCGGATTATTTTGAAAATTTGGCAACCAGTGGGGGCTAGGATTGTCTCTGTTTCCAGACCTCCCGATTTCGGATATTTATGGAATAATTGAATAAAATTTTATAAAATAATTAGATAGAGGTATTAAATCAGTGAAATTAATGAAATTATGTAGTTAATTATTCGTATCGCTTGAATATTTTTTATTCAAGGACTGCGAATTTTTGCCACTGATCACTAATTTAAATTTGGGGGGGGGGCTAGATGCTTGGTCCTGAGCCATTGCCTCTTTGTTATGAAGAAGATAAGAAGGCGAAAGAACGAACAACCCATTGGGAGGCCAGATGCACAGAGAATTCAGAATTCTCAAAATACAAGAAACACAAAAACAAACGTGATTAAAAATATTGGGGCCAATTGAGTAATCATTGAACAAATCGATAAAATGAGCAAGAACAGTTGAAGAGAACAATGCAACTGTTCAAGAACACCAAAGACCATACCGACATAAGTATACATGTGTAGATAAAAGATTTTAATCTACCAAAAGAAACGTGAATCAACCTGGAATATTCATTGATAGTAGAAGGAATAGTAAAGTAACTTGACCGGCAAATCGCTACATTAAAATGTTGTAATTTGTGCAAGAACCTGGCGTAATTCAATACCGTTGGTTATCTCAATGGTGGTAAGGTACAAAAGTTCAATTTTGCTTGTAAAATGTAGTGTTGAACCTGTGGCCACGCACTTTAGGAACAAGCATCAGAGGTAAATTGGAAGAGTGGAAATTCGCCATTTATTTGATCAGTCGTAGTGGTATAGTTCTACAAACTAAAATAACAAAAGCAAGGGGGGAAGTTATAGCTTTTTCAATTGAACTCAGAGATGCATTAAAAAAGGTCCAAATGAAAGAAATTAGTATTAAAGCGTGTGAGTAGTCTAGTCATAAGACAGTTTTGCCCATAATTTGTTCTGTGGACCGGTTGAAAAAAAAGTTGCCTTTAGTCCCTCTGCTAGGGATGAGGAAATAGATTTCTTATAAAGATTCAGGTGAACAAGTAATAAGTAATATCAGATCAATTGTGCATTCTGACATCTATTCTCCAGACTAGTTAAGCTACACAACAGTAAATGTGTGTTGTAGTCCACATTCTGATAAAGAAATCTTGGTTTGTATAACAAGTATTCACCTTTATTCTGAACTCTTTCGATCCTCTGGATTTGACAGTTATGGTTAGGTGACCAAATTATACTGCAGTATTCCAATGTTGACCTCATCAGACTATAGTAAAGTGTGGCTATGCCGAATATGGCTTTGACATCAAATATATCTCTGGTTTCTCTTGATAAAGCCGAGCAGTAAAACTCTTAAGCACATTATCGATATGTTTGCTGCAAGACATTTCATTTGTGAATAGTATTCGTCTTTGGTGGTATCAACATTCTTTCATTCTCAAGAAAGTATGTGTGCAGGTATAGATTCATTGTTTTGTAGAAACTTACGTGCTCGCACTTCTTAAGGTTGAGTTTTAATAGGTGAATGTTGCACCAGTAAGCAAGTCTATCCAGGTCTGGTTTGAGGACCTTAAGCTTTTTGCTACTGTGGATTCAGATTTCAACCTGAATCCACAGTAGCAAAAAGCTTAAGGTCATTGGCGTACAATAGGCACTGTGTACCTGATCACGTAACAATATATTGAAAAGAAACTCAATACATTTCAATATACCTACTCTCTATTTATTACAATATATTTTGATACCTATTTAGAATTAGATTTTTAAATACATAAAATACCTAACAATAAAGTTTAGGTAAATAAATAAAAGTAAAAAAAGTATATACACATACAGACATACAATTAAAAGGGGAATACAATAGAAAAAAACCTTAATAAATATTTCAAATCTTACTGCATATTATATGGAGGTGGTTGATGATAAGCCTGCGGATTCATTTGTCTTTGAAGGTGAGCAACCAAAGCTGGACTCGGTTGACTTCCAGGACCACCTTGTTGTTGTTGCTGTTGTTGTTGTTGTTGCTGCTGCTGCTGCTGCTGTTGTTGTTGTTGCTGCTGCTGCTGCTGCTGCTGTAAGGCCATCATTTGTTGCCTTATCCTTTGCTGTTGTTGGAATTGAGTTTGTTGATTTTGTACACCCGGCTGCATGACTTGTCCTGGCCTGGAATATGGAGGTGCTGGACCACCTATGAATAATTTGTTGAGTATTATTGAAATAAACTATGCCAGATATACGTACTCATACCTTGAGCGCCCATTCCTCCTCCCATACTGCCCATATTAGTGTTCATAGTAACGTTGGGGGCTTGTTGCATATACGGTGCTCTAGGATTACCACCCATTTGTCTGTAATCTGGCTGGGCAGGCCTTGGCTGGCCAAAACCTTGTTGTTGACCGGCAAACATGCTACTTTGTGAGGCTGAAATAAAACATGATTTACTCAAAGTAACTTATCATTTATTTCTAATAAAACAGTGAAGTTAAATGTTACGAGTCATCCTTCAAGTTATTTATTATGAAACTTGTACCTTAATAATTCAGTATCCCAAATGACTACATGAATACCTATTTATTTATTACGCAAAAATTCTACTGTACAAAAACTAAACAATAATATAATAAAATGAGTATTAAATTATTACCTTGCATCATTTGTGGATTACTTTGCATATTGCCCTGCATCATTTGATTATTACCAGCAAAATTACTATACTGATTACCCATACCGGCTTGCATGTTGCCATATTGGTTAGGAAACATTGCCTGATTGGTTTGCATTGTTGCAGGATGCTGCTGTCTTAGAGTTTGCCTAGGGAATCGCTGCATTTGTCCATAACCAGGATTAGGAGCCGCCGCTGCTTGATTGGCGGGCATTCCTGGCATTCCGTAGTTGTTGATTGGATGTCTTTGCCTGAGCATATTGGAGAGAGCCTGTTTGGAGGTGTTGAGTTGAGGACGCTCAAATCGGTTCACCGCCATCGGGGGATAGCCGTAACCTTGTTGGGGATTTTGATTTTGTTGATACCATTGTTGGTTAGGATTACCAGCATATTGTTGACCTGGTTGTATACCTATAATTATTTTGAATGATTGAGGATTTTTGAACTATATCTCCATTTTCCTAAGGTACTTTTCTTGATAATTTTGGTCTCTCTGACAACAAATGTGGTATGAAGGTAAAATTAATATCTAGAGCTTTGACTAATATATACATAGTCCGCTCCCGATACACACTCAAGTATTTACTTTGCACTAGTAAATGCACTTAATTTTTTCAAAAATATTGATTCTAATAAAAAAATTCTTACCAGGATTCTGTCCATATCCAGCCATCCCATGACCCATCTGCGGATTATTGCCCTGCACTCCCATAGCCATGCCGGGTTGCTGACCCATTGGATTATGCCCCATTGCCATGGGATTGACATTTATTGGCCCTGGTTTTGGTTTACGTTTCCCGCCCCTTTTGCCTCTGCCTTTTCCTAGGGCTGCTGGACTTTGGTCCACTGACGATGGAGTGTCAGCTTTCAAATTTGAATCCTATTTTTTTTTTAATTATTAATTATTTATTTTAATTAACGAATTCGCATCCAGCATATTAACATTTAGAATTTTTTCAGCATTAGATACAAATCGTATCGCTCTGTTAATTGGATTCTACAATAGGAAACATCCAGTAACATACTATCACATGTCTGATATACAGAAATGCGACTTATTAGAAGACACAAATTTGGGGCTGCCGCAATTATTGTTCAATATTAGAATAAGAAATTAATTGCCAAATTTTGTTTGTTTTAGAAATTACAGAGTATCTCATTATATGTTTATAAACATAAGTACTTTAATTAATAAGTATTTACTTATTTAATTTATTTACAAAACAAGTATCAATAGTATCATATTACTCCCTTCTGCATATAAGCAGTTGTAAGTCTGAAAAACTACAGTCTGATCTGCTGTTGAAGTGTTAAGTTAAAACCCTGGAGTGCCGAGTTTAAAGGTAACAAACTTTATAAACTTAAAAGCTGAACATTTTTCAGTCTTCCAATGGGAATGTCAATATTTTTTCTTTCAATAACGCGCTACTTACGAAAAATAAAATGCTCTCTATCAAATTTAATTTTTTTCTTTAAAGTTGATATCATGGTTACAGGTTCAATTTTGTTAGCACATACTCCTTTTTCCAATGAAGAGGAAATCAAATTAATCAGTGGATTTTCAATGGAAGGAAACATTTTCTTTGTATGTCTGGTATTTTACGATGGTTTTGTTTTCCATATAAAAATATATCTTTTAAGGTAACTGCATCAACCAACCTGAACTCAAGGACACCCGGATGAGCGATAATCAATCAACCAATTTTCTTTGAAAATACTAACCTTTCTTAATGACCTCCACCACATTATTTCTTCTTTCCTTATACACTTTATTGTTTATGCCTCAATAAATCCCATAACTCACATTCCTGCAATATTACAGCATTTACAGCCTCACTCAGGCTTAAATCATTTATACAGGGTGTTTCAGAAATGGTGTTACAAACTTTAAGGGCGGATATAACTCATCAAAATAAGAAAAAAATTTATATAAATATGAGCCCGGAAACGTTTCGTTTCCGAGGTATTGGAGCTAGAAATTCAAGAAAAGAAAAAAGTAAAGGCGTTAGCCGAGTCCGGAATAGCAGATGAGTCTTGAAAAACTATATTAGGTACGTGTGACAAACGCTATTTTTTGTCATACGCTTTTTAGAATTCTTCAGAACGCTAAAATTTGCAAAATTTCCTTAATTTTTGAAATCATAAAGGTGCATCCAGGAAGAAAAAAAAATCCTAAAAAGAAGTATTTTACGGACTTGAATGAGTCCATATGCATTATGATGTTAAATGGACCTCTGCGTTTTTATGACTGGTTTTTATATCCACCATTCTATGTCGGTCATTGTCAATTTCTATTCACTAAACAAAGATAGCTCATCGGTGAAGTCACGGATTAGAATAAAAACGAGGGGGACGTTAAGAAACGGCGATGTGGGCGCACAGCGGTGTAGTCACGAACTAAAACAAAAAGTGGAGGGGATGAATCCAGTGAATGTTCTATTTAAGGTTTAAAGTCAGGCATATAGTTTATTACAGCAACGCGAGATGTCAGTACTGTCGCCCCTATAGTGTGCCCTAACTTGATAGTCAAAAAAAAAATAGAAATCTGCATTTGATTAAATTGTGTGATGGAAAGTTTTTTCTTTTTTTTGCGGAAATTCGAAGTATTATTCTGTTTTACATAAACAGGGTTGTAGTTTGGACCAACACAAATAATTTTGAACGTTCATCCGTCGGATTTTTTTTAAAACAGTGTAGCTACGGGCGCATTTCCAACTATTTTTGCAGTAGCGAGAAAACTACAAGTTCAAAAAATTTGAAAAAAATATATGTCGCGTAGAATTGCAATAGTAGTTCGTAATAAAAATAACGGGAAACTTCATCTATTCGTTTTGACATAAATGGTGAAAAACCACTTTTTTTTCAGGTTTTGCGATATATCTCAAAAATGGCGAGTCCAATTTACTTAAAAAAATTATGGAATAAAGTATATCAATAACCATAAAAGATATTTTTTTTTTTGGAATTTTTGAACACAAGGTTCAGAAAATGGAAGTTGACTTTAAACCTTAGAAATATAAATCACTTTTCTATGGCCATAATCTGGTCAACGCTGAGAATCACACCACTCACCAGAGACAGTTTGCACCTAGCAAACTTGATAAATTTGTGTTGAACACTCTCAAGCCTATTGATGTGGTTCTGATAGTGAGGTGACCAAACTATACAAGAAAATTCAAGAACGGATCTGACCAGTTATGTGCAAAGAATTTTGATAAGATCTATAAAGCTTTTTTTTTTTAAAGATTAAAGCATAGAGAAATATAATAGTAGTAAACTACGAGAGAAGTCATTGCCCTGTACTTAACTGGCACAATGTCGACGTTAGCGCCCCTGGTGGCTACGGTCAGCAATAAAAGAGTGAACATTGTTTGTCTGCAGGTTTCTTCTTTACCGACAGTGAAAAGACGGCTTTTTTGAATAATTAAATTATTAACTTTGATTTTATTTAAGAATTATTAAAATAAAGTACTGTAAACGCTCAAAACAATTAATTATTGCAAAGCAATGCATTTGTTGAAAAAACTTGCTAAAATTTACTGAGCAACTGTTTAGAACGATAACAGAACTTATTTTGAGCATTCAGTTTTTGATTGATGGTCTTTGGATTCAATCATTTTTCAAATTTTGTATTTTGTATGTACTAAAAAAAGATAAAACATTTTCAGGCAAGTTGCTGACAAAGACAAATTAAACCGAGTTGTCAGAAACGATCGGAGTAATTAGTTCAATAATCTGCCACACCATGCGAAATACGCTACGGGTATGTGCACAAACACACTTCCAGATTGTTGCATTAAACAAACGTCTCTCGTAGTTTACTACTATTATATTTCTCTACGGATTAAAGTCAAAATGACATTATTTTGGTTATACAACTCATTGTACATTATTCCCATATGACACGAGAGGCTTAAAAAGTGATAAGCCTTTTGGGATTATCGCGCTTGGTGGCATTTATAGCAAATTCTATTATATAATTTTTTTTTAAATTTTTAAGTATTAAAGTTTAGTTCGTTGTATAACCTTTTGAATACCACTCGATGTTTCAGGATTACCTAATACTTTTACCTGACACTCAACGCGTTACTAGCAACACCACTCCTCCTTCGGAGTCGTGGTGTTGCTGCGTAACGCGTTTCGTGACAGGTAAAAGTATTATCCGGTAATCCTGAAACCTCTTGTGGTATTACATTCGACAATACAATGTAAAATTGTCAATGCTTTCAACTTTCTTATGTAGAAAAGGCTTGTGTTGCCAACATAGTTACTAATTTTTTGACTTGGGGAATTATCTTTTAAAAAAAACATAGTTTACTTGTAAAGTCCCTAGTAGCTCTCTTAATAAAACCCAACATTCTATTAGCCCCGCCAATTACCACTTCAAAATGCTTGGTGAACATTAACCTAGATCTAGATAGACACCAAGATCTTTAATGGCAAAAACTTCAGAAAAGCGAACATCACCTAAGCTATACTGAAAGGGAACCTTACAAGTGAGTCTACTGAATCTTATACAACAACACTTATCAATGTTAAGGAATATGTCATTAAGCTGACACCAATCATAAACAATGTTAACATGGTCTTGCAGAATAAGTATGTCTTGAGCTGACGTCACCTGAAGATACAACTTCAAGTCATCAGCGAAGAGTAAAAAATTCGAGGAAAGCAACGATCCTAAACCATTGATAAATAAGGTAAATAGAAGGGGGCCCAAGTAAGAGCCTTGGGGTACCCCAGAGGATGCATGGAAAAGAGAAGAGAGATAGCCATCGATCTTGAATTGTTGCATTCTGTTAGTAAGGTAAGATTTCATCCATGGAAGTAAAGGGTCCAGAAACGCCATAACTTGAATTTTGAAAGAAGGATGTGATGGTTTACCTTATCAAAGGCTTTACTGAAGTCAGTATACCGGGTGTTTTTCAAAACCCGCTCACCCCTATAACTTTTTTATTTTTTCAAATAAACAAATGAAATTTGGTGTGTTTATTTATGACCCGGATGTGCATTATTTGACGTATTCAATTTTTTACTATCACTTCCGGTTTGACCGGAAGTGACCCTAACTTTCTTATTTTAAATGAGACGCTAGGTATATTTTTCCTCATTTTAATAGAAAACTACATTACGAGTACAGTGACACCTCATTTATCACTTTTTGACATTTCACCTCCAAATTATTTAAATTTTTACTTTTTAATCTAGAGCGCCATGAATAAGTTAAAATGCTTAATTATGCTCCTAGAAACATGGGAAAATTTGTTTTGACCTTATTTTGAATTTTATATCCTCTACAGGCTCATTTAAAGTTAGTAGGAGCGCATTTTTGGAATTATATCAATTTTTTCAAATGGAAAGCTCATTAGCATATTTCGAGAGAGCATTTTCTAACAAACAATTCAGTACCACACAATCGCTAGTTTATTCAAATATTGAACTAAAATTTTCCAAAAATATTTAGAATGCTAGAAAAATTCTTAATTTGAGTGATGAACTAGCGATTGTGTGGTACTGAATTGCTCGTTAGAAAACGCTCTTTTGGAACATGCTCATGAGCCATACCCTTTCCATTTGAAAAAATTGATATAAGGTACCTGTCCCAAATAAGGCCATGTTAAGAGGTTTTATTTTTTCCGAACACTATCCACCAAACCCGACAAAAATCACGAGCTTATATGTGAAATGTTTCGCTTCTATTACTTGAATATTAACTCCAATTTATTTATTTTTTCATGTAAGTGGTGGTTTTTGCGTAAAACAAAGACCCTTACCATTGGCCTTATTCAGATCACCATGCTCCTAATAAGGCCACCAATTAAAAAAAATAAAAATAAATAGAATTATTTATAAAAATATTATTTTTTGACAAAAAGTATT